TTTCCTTCCTTTGTATCTGAAAGAACTTGTCTGTCGGCGTCTCCCCGAGTAGAACAGGCCTCTCTTGCGCATGTTATACCCGGCGAGCACCGTCTCCTGTCCTGGGGAAGCGGCAGAGAGAAAACACACACTGTCCCTGCCACTCACGGTCCAGCGGGCGAAACTCACCATCAGCAACCACAACACACACATGCACACGCACACACGCACGCACACACACGTGTGCCTGGTCATGTGGTGACAAGCACTGTTGTTTGACTGAGCTCGGGCAGCCAGAACCAAATGCATATTCTGGGGCGTAGTGAACAGACATTCATTCTCTCACGGTTCTGGAAGGCTGGACATCTGCGACCCGGGTGCCAGCACAGCCCGGCTGAGGGAGGCCCCTCCGGGTGGCAGAAGGCGGCTTCTCGCGGTGAATGCACGTGGAGCGGGGAGCCCTGCTGCCCCTATCAGGGTCGGCTCGAGGCGGTCAGAGCTGCAGCCTTAGGGCCTCATTGAACCTTCACACCTTCTCACCGGCTTGTCCCCTACAGTCACCTCTGGGTTAGGGCCCCAACTTACCAACTTGGGGGACACCATTCAGTCCATAAACTATGAAGAACAACAAGGCCGGTGAGGGGAGCATGTGACCAGGCTACTCGCTCGCTGTTTCAGCGGCTGGTCACTGCCTCGTATGCGGGACGTCAGCAGACACTCGCTGGCAGGGAGGGACACGTCTCGCGTGCGGTGCCTGGCGGAAGCACGTTCCTGCCCAGGAGAACAGAGCTCCCCCTCAGTCTGCCTGCGGTTAATGTCAGTGCGCGGGGCCCGGTAGGAATCAACAATCTTGTCTTTCCCATCGAGAGCCAGTGTTCGCAGTGAATGGGCTGCCCTCTGGCTGCCGTTGACGATGGCCTTGTGTCTGCAGACCCTGCCCGTTCCCACCGTATGTGTCCATGTGTTACGGGCACGCGGTCTCCTTAGTATCACTTTCCCAGTGTCACTCCTGGTTTCCGGTCTCGCAGGCTCTTCTTCCACATCCTCCCGGTGCCCTGGGCGCTTCCCCGAGATTCTGATGGGGATCACTCGCTCGGAACTCACAGGTTGACTCGGGCACCGCCCATCCCTGCAGAAGTGTCTTCTCCTGGCGACCTGGTCTCTCTCCACTTATGCTTCCTCTCAGTCTGCGTGCAGTTCTGTCAGGTTGTCCGTCAAGGTAGCCCTGGTGGCATCTGACGTTTCTGACGTCACGTGGCCACGGCAGCCGTGGGAGATGGTTATCGATTTCTTTGCAGCCAAGGATAAATCCGAGAAAATATTTGCACTGGCGTTTGTGAAGCTGATGAGATACGACGGGACGACACTGAGGGATGGCGAGCATGACCTCATCGTCTACAAGGTAGGCGGGGGGCGGGGTAAGGTAGGCAGGGGACAGGATAAGGT